CTTTCATTAAGTCCACATTTAGAGCAAATTTTTATCAATTATTTTTATCTATATTTTTTGGTACATATTGAAGACTCTGTACTGTTATTATATTGTTGGTAATTGTACCTGATTTTGTGTTTGATAGTAATAAAATAAACTCTAAATTAAATTATCAATAATAAATTATATTGCTAAACACCATAAAATTAATCAAACAAACTAAATATCGTAATTAAAATTTTTAAAAATATTTAACTGTCTTAGAAATCTTATAAATGAATGTCCATGTTAATAAGTTAAGAAATACTGCTTTCTAATAACTCATTAATTTTAATTTAAAAATGTCTTAATATGACAGGAGATGATAATGAATGCGGAGGAGAGGTCTAAGAGGCGATTAATCATTGAATGCAATCGACTTAAGCGAAAAAAGTTGTCTAATATTAAACAGCTTAAGAAAACTCCTACACCTCATTACTACATGGACTCAGCATCCAATTCCTCATTAGATAATCAGCACAACATTGTCACATCTACGAGCACCACCACCAGTACTTCTATGTCTATCGATAATGTATATAATAACATCTTGGACATTTCCTTCAAATCAAATGATAACTGCAATGAGAAACTATATGAGAGGGCATTCACACTGGGAATGGATGTCATGTCCATCGCCCGACCCATCACTGACTACAACACGACATTCAATGAGTTAGAGGGCTATAAGTTTACGGAACTCATTAGTGCCGCAAATATTATGACCGCAAATGTGTCCACAAATATCAACACATCCCATGTCTATACATTTGACGACTTTTTGCGTGTCATTGATGTCCGACGCGAGTATGACATCAAAAATGTGGTCAAAGTGTTTAAGCGGTTGATGTGTGCCAGTGAGATATGTGAGCAGGATAAAGTTATTTTACTGAAATACGGTGCATCAGAGGTGCACTGTATGCGGAGTATTACATACTATGATTACGACACTCAAAGCTGGACAACAAACTTGGTATGTTTAACTCAATTGTGATACAGTATTGTAGTTTATGGTGCCCATAGATATGACATAAAAAATTACCTTGTTTATTTGTATTTAATATATAATTCTTGAATTAAATGACAAAAGGATGACAAGAATGCATTGGTTTTGAGTATGGATTTTGTCCGTCAGACTGAACCCCATAATGAAACTCATATATTATTCCGAGATTATGTGAATACTATGTATAACGAAATCGACTCCGATATCAACGTCTTAAATATTGTAAGAAATTAAAGAAAACAAAGTTTATAATACTTAATAACTAATTACATTGAATTCATTTAACAGATGACGGCTATAGTCCTTTTCAATCCCTACCGACCGGGACTTAAATACAAGGAAATTGTAAAGTAAGCGTTTAATTAGATCTCAATTTTTAAATAGTTTAATTTATAATAATATTAATAATTAATAATTTTAATAAAAGTGGTATTTCTATATTTGCGTTCATAGATTACAGCAACACATTTACATGCATTTACTCAAACGTTATTTACTAATCAAATATCAGAGCAAATTGATTGCCAATGAGAAATTTGGGCGATTATTGAACACATTAATTGATTTATATTACGTCGATATGAAGACTAAACAAAATTTACTTAACATATCAAATCATATATACCCACCACTGCTCCGGGAGTTACTAAATGAATAATAATAATAGAAATTATCAATTTGTAAAATATTCTCATATTAGCACTCATTGAAAATATTTCTATTCTAGTAACTTATTTATTTCATTTACAAATAGTATAATAATTATTATTTGCTATTTATTTACCAATTTTCTAATACTTTTAATTCAATTAATTATATATGTAATTTCTAAACATTTCTATCAGTATTTTCTAAAATCAATGTCAAAAACTATATTACTCATTGTGTAAGTCATGTCGTTTGTAAAATAAATTCTAAAATGTAAATATTTTTTATTATATCTATTATAAATTCATTGTATTACAATCTAATTGACAATAATCATCATTAATTAGATATCAAAATATAAAATCATATAAAATTTTATTTAACTTTAATATTATATATTATATAAATAAAATATTAATCCAAGAATTTCCTCATATTATTTAAGGAAAAACTCTACAAAATATTTGATTGTTAAGTAAATTATAATGCATGCCTACACTAACTAGCTCAATTTGCTACTGAATAATAATACAGTACTAGTAATAAAAATAATAATTTTATTTCTAATTTAAGAACTTGTTTAAAATACAATGACATTAACATGACAATGATCTTACTTTAAGGTGTATTTCAAAATTAAACTTTTCATGTATAATGTTACTATGTAATAGACATATAATTAATGATTTACAACAAAATACTAGTAATTTATGTTGTAGGAAAATATGATAAAATATTTTGTTTCAAATCTAATAAAATTATTATAAATTAGTTTGTCATTTTATTAAAACCATTATTTTTAGGCTTTTACTGTGAAAATGATTTATGAAGAATCTTAATAGTTTTACATAATAAATTATAATAATAATAAAACAATCCCTTCCCAGAAATGAATAAAAAAATGAACTCTAAATTAAAAAATTTTGAAATATTTTTCGTCATGTTTTACTAAACAATTTTACAATCATTACAATATATACGGTATAATACGATAACTAGTCAATTATATTAATGATACGAAAACATACCTGTCTATGCAACAACATTCAACTGTAAAATACTGTACATGTGCAAAATTATATATAATACAGTGCAATATAATTATAATGGACGCACTCGTAGTAGGGTACAAGTTTTTTGCTACATAGAAAACATGTAGTTCCTATCAACGTTATCAAATTGATTGGTGTTGTCATTGAAACACAAGAGCCTCAATATTTTGAAAATAATTTTTATCAAAACTACTAATAATTTATTTTTTTAAAACTCGCATGTAAAAAATAAACTCATTTGTTTTCAAATAAAATACACTGTTTATAAGCCTGGTGAATGGAAGTCAATACAAATGCGAGACTGTGTGTGGTTTGTAATGATAAAGGAATCGGTAAAATGTTTTTATTATTATAACAATTTATTTTATTTTATTATAATTAATCTCAAATCTCCCAAAAAATATCTTAGGCTTTAATTTCGATGCCTTGACGTGTGAATCGTGTAAATGCTTTTTCAGGAGAAATGCTATGAGAGTAACAAACTATAAATTATGATTGCTCATTTAAATAGTTATATAATTATATATTTTCTGGTGATCACCCGTAGGTGGACCTGGAGTGCAAATCGGGTACTAATGAGTGCATTATATTAATTAAGACGAGGAAAAATTGTGCCAAATGTAGACTCGATAAGTGTTTGGCTCACGGAATGAAAAGGGTAAATATTTTCACATTTATCATTTATTTATGAATTATAAATAATAGAATTATAAATATTTTGAGACCTTGATACCTTTAAAAGCTATCATGTGTATATGCTATTTCTATTAAAATAATAATCTGTACACTTGGATTTTAAGAAATCATCAAAAATTATTTACTCTTAAATTAATATAAGCCTAAAAATATTGTTGCTATATTTAAATGTCTTAATTTCTGTTATTAGTGGTAAACATTTGTAAATTTTTATATAAACTTCTACTGTAATACTGTACGAAATAATTACATTTATTCCACATTGTTAACATGTTTATCAACTATTTTGATCAATAATATAATTAACTAGAAGTATATTTTGACTTATTTGATCAGACATATTTTTCTATATATTTAGGATAAAGTGCTTCTTAATCATGACAAGTATTTCAAAGCATTCTCAATAATACATCAAACAAATTAATTTATCTAGATCAATAAAACCATACAAAAATATAAATACTGTATATCAAACGTGACAGTAATTTCAATTTATAAATAATAATTAAAAATAATTTCTATAATTAGTTAATAATTATTATATAAAAAATACTTAACCTTTAAGGAGATGATAATGAATGCCGAGGCCAGGCATAGGAGGCGGTCCATCATTGAATGCAATCGACTTAAACGCAAAAACTTGGCAAACACTCAAAAAATTAAGGAGATCCCTGCACCTCCTATCATCTGTACTGAATCTACGGACTCATCATCCCTTTCCTCATCAGACAATCACAACATTTTAGTCTCGTCTACGAGCAGCACCTGTACTTCAATTTGTGTCGACAAGATTTGTGATAATAATCTCGTCAACACTTCCATGACTTCAACGTACGACTCAAATGAGAAACTATATGAGAGGGCATTCACGCTGGGAATGGATGTCTTGTCCATCGCCCGACCCATCACTGACTACAACACAACATTCAATGAATTAGAGGGCAATAGGTTTACGGAACT